TGACGTCACAAATCATATATACCGCGTACTGGTCCGGTGTAGACGAGACCGAGCGAGCATGCCAGGGAGTCGGTATCATCTTTTCAGAAAGAATGGGTCAATGTGTGAAAGAGTATGAATGTGTAAGCCCGAAACTGCTATGGATAAGAATAAAAGTAGGCCTAAAGAAGTTGTTTGTTCTAGGTGTCTACGCCCCAGGCATGTCTAAGCCAACTTATATCCGAGAGCAGTTTTGGGAGATGGTAAGGATGGTGTTAATGAAATGTAAGGAAAATGAAAATATTGTCATGTTAGGAGATTTTAATGGAAGGGTTGGCTATGAAAGGATAATGGGAACGTGTGGTGATGAAAGTATTAATGAGAATGGTGAAAGCCTCCTCACCGTATGTGTGGAAAGGAATATTTTTGTGACGAACACTTTCTTTCGTCATATGAAGATTCACATGTATACTTGGGAAAGAGGTGATGATAGAAGCATGATAGATTTCATAACTGTGGATGAAAGAATGAGAAGCGCAGTGGTGGATACAAGGGTTTACCGGGGGTCCAACGTAGGGACGGACCACTACCTGGTCTTATGCCAAATTAGGGATTTATTCAGACGTTGGCGGCATCGGACATCTGTGTCTACCACTGCGTTACAGCGTTTGAGTTTACAAGAAAATTGAGAGGTTACAAGATGAAGATGTGAAAGACAAGTACAAATGTAGACTGAGAGAAAATATAAATAATTTGGATGAGTTGTGTGTGAATGAGTTAGACTTGGAGAATGTGTGGCATAATGTTAAGAAAGGTTTAGTGGATGCAGCTACCGAAGTATGTGGTGTTAGTAAGAGAACGAATGAAAGGAAAGACAATACGTTATGGTGGGATGATGAGGTACGTATGGAAGTTGAAGCAAATAAGAGAGCATGGCTAGATTTACTAGCGACCAAAGCTGGTAATTCTGGCGGTAAGAATGATGAGATTGAAAGAAAAAAGGCAGTCTTTAGACATCTTAATAAGAGAGTAAAGGAAGTAGTGGAAAGGAAAAAGCAAGAAAGAACGGATAAGAATGATAGAAGAATATCGGATAACTTCCAGGCAAATATTAAAATGTTCTGGAAACTCGTAAGAAATACCAGGGGACATTCAAAAGAGCCTAGATTGAATGCGATACGAGACAAGAATGGCTGTATTCTGAATGACGAAGTGTTGAGTCTAAAGAGATGGAAGGAATATTTTGAAAGCGTATTTATGAGTGAGGAGACGTGTGAACTAAATGAAGTAGAAATTGCGAAAGAAGATGAAAGAAATAGGGAGATAAGTATAGATGAAATAATGAAAGCAATGAAAAGCATGAAATTATGTAAGACAGCCGGATATGATAGAGTTTCACTCGATATGCTAAGGGCTGGAGAGGACGTGGTGGCGGGCCTGCTGTATACCTTCTTTAATTTATGTTGGGAACTAAAGCGGGTACCGGGACACTGGTGCAAAGCCGTGATAGTCCCAATATATAACGGAAAAGGGTCACAGCAGGACTGTAAAAACTACCGCGGTATCAGCCTTCTTAGCATTGTGGAAAACTGTATGCTAAGGTACTAATTGAAAGAGTTATGAAAGAAACTGATGAAAAAATTTGGGATGTGCAAGCGGGATTTAGAAAGGGAATGGGGTGTACAGATCAAGTTTTTTCCATGCGCATGATCGCGGAGAAGTTTTTGGCAAAAAACCAAAAAGTTTTTTGTGCGTTCATGGACTTGGAAAAGGCTTATGACAGAGTGGACAGGGATGTGTTATGGCAAACGCTGAACGCATTTAGGTTGAGCGCTTGTTTAATACAGGCATTAAAGGCTCTGTATAGGAACTCGAGTGCTTGTGTTAGAATCAACGGGGTCTACACGGACTGGTTTGGCATCCATAAAGGTGTCAGACAGGGCTGTGTAGCTTCCCCGTGGCTGTTCAACCTATTTATGGACAGTTGTTTGGAAAATTTTAAAGTTGAAGAATGCGGGTTAAGAATGGGTGAGTTAACCATCAAATGCCTTTTGTACGCCGATGATCAAGTCATACTTGCGTCGTCGGTGGTCGAGTTGCAAATTATGGTTACATTAATGAACAGGTCATTAAAAGAAAGGGGAATGAAATTGAACGCAAGTAAGACGAAAGTGATGGTTTTTGAAAGAGAAGAAAGCAAAACGGTATGTGAAACAAGAATAGAAGGAGAGTTAATTAAGCAAGTGGATGAGTTTGTATATTTGGGATGTGTATTCCGCAGGGATGGGAGATAAGGATATTGAACGACGAGTGAATGCAGGAAATAAAGTAAATGGGGCTCTACACTCTATTGTGAAAAGTCAGAATGTGTCAAAAAAGGCACGTATGGCAATTCACAATGCTGTATTAGTCCCTACTTTAACGTATGGTAGTGAAAGTTGGGTGTGGCAGAAGAAGCACGAGAGTAGAATAAATGCAGTAGAAATACGATCGCTAAGGAGTATGTTAGGGCTGAATCTGAGTGACAGGGTGAGAAACTGTGTGATAAAAGAAGAGTGTGGCTTGCAAGATGATGCGGTTACCAGGATTAAGAAAGGAATGCTTCGGTGGTTTGGTCATGTAGAAAGAATGAATGCGAAAAGACTGAAAAAGCAAATATGTGTTGCAGAAGTGAATGAAAGAGTCGGAAAGGGACGTCCTAGACGGAAGTTTGTCGACCAAATTGGCGATGTACTAAAAATGGGCCAAATTAAGAGTACCCTTAACCGACGAGCATGTATGCGTAGGTATATGGATGTGGAAGAGGCGAGAGTGGTATGTCAGGATCGTGCTAAATGGAAGACTGTAGTCTCTGCCTACCCCTCTGGGTGACAGGCGTGAGTGTTTATATATGTATGTAGTTATACAAATATGAGGCTTATCGACACTGACGTAATAATACTGCCATTTCTTTTTAACCTTCTTAATATTGTGTAAGTGAAAAAGGATGATAGTATTTTTGACAGCTACTATAATCGCAATCCTTCATTTTAGCCTCATTGGAAAACCCATGAAGGTTAGAGAACAGGAGAACGATCGCCGTAGAAAATATTGTCCCAGAAATATGGACACCATCAGTGAGGCGCTTCGACCACTAAGTGCAGTCAATAAAAGTCATTTTCAGTCTATCTTTCCGATCAGATGCTCAACCACTTGCACATCCACGCACAATAAAATATTTCTCCATTTTTTAATGTTTCTTTTTGTCAAAAATTACAAAATTACGGAGCATGAAAATTTTCTACGAAAAAATGAAATGAAAATTTGTACATTATTCAACTAACTTCACGTACTTGTACTCATAAACAGCTAACTTCGCAGTCACTACTCACCGACGTCAGCGCCGCTATGTATTCTACAATTTTCAAGGACAGGCGGGCTATGCTTTAGTACGTAGTGATCGTTCTCCTGTTCTCTAACCTTCATGGGAAAACCTATTTGCGGCCGGGTCGCCATTTTATCCTCTCGCTATTTAGTACCAAAGTTGGTATATCAACTGTCAAATGCTCTTGAGCTGTTGGTGTAATTTGTGAATTTTGTAGTAATTTTCTGTGTTATTGCATTTGAGTACCGGCTACCGGCCGGTACCAGCTTTGAGTATTTAACCAAAGGAGGCAGCATCGCAAGGCATAGCCCTCTGTGAAAGGTACGTGTTACTGCCCCCGTGCTACCCTGGCAAAGTCGATTGAACTAGGGCCCACAGTAGTCCAAGTAGACGAGTAACAAAAGGAAGGGTCCAACGACCTATGGATAATTAAATTATAACGGCTAACAGAAAAGCAAGCAACACTTAACAATTGGCGGAAGTAGGGTTAACCACAGGGCAATTGTCAGGTGAAAGGTGATATGCATGTAAGTGGTGTGCAGTATTGTATTTAATGTGTAACCTAACATCCCCGCTGATCCTGGATAGCAGATCCCAAGGCACTGCCTCTCTCCAAGTGTGGGACCTATCCAAGGGGACGTACACCAATGGAAAGCTTCCGCTTCTATTTTCACTATATTAGTTTATTACTTTATTGTACACATAATTAACTTCAAGTTCAACCAAATCAACGTTAAACAAGTGACACGCGGTCCAACTTAAGGACGGTTGCTCAAAGTTCAATGTCTCAGGTTCACGTAGCACAAACACACAACAGTTGTACTTCATGAAATCATTTTCTTGTTTTGGGAGGCATGGAGAAATGCATTTAGACATATTTATATTTACCGATAATGCTATTTTATGGTTCTTTATTACTTTTACGTTTTATTTTCAAAGCTGCCTGATAATAAAAGAAAAAAGATAATTTGGCTGGAAATATTTGGTATTGAAAATTTAAAGATATCAAAAAAAATCATATTTGTTCTCTTCACTTTTATGAATCATGTTTCAATCGTACACTGAATAAAGTACACATTGCGTGACGATGCTTTACCTTCACGAGCCATATCGGTAAGAAGTAACGTTACATGTTATAAATTTTTCCAACATGATTGAGTGGTGGCTGATAAATTGAGTGGTGATGACATCAATTGTAACCACATAGTCCGTACATGACTGGACCCCACTGCGTTAAAATATATCGCCGGTTATTAAAAAAAAATATTATATTCCATACATTTTGACTGCGTAGTATTGAACTTTTGTAGGATACAGCAGATTTTTTTGAAATAAACGACAGTAAATTTTAACGCAAGAGGGTCCAGAATCATGAACTGATATGTGGTTTAAAAGAATATCAATTGTTCTGTTCTACCATGTATAATGGACACAAATAGTGATGTAAAGAATGTGTTCAAGTATGGTATTAAGATAATAAAAAATCATTGAAAATGATCAAAATCAAACAAACTCATAATCAATATCTGGATGTGGTGCCCCTAATAATTGAAAAATTACCTTATGGTATTTTTTTTCTTAATTAAAACAGCAGGATAACCCTAATATTTTTGAAGAGTCATAACATTTTTTAGTATTTACTTTTCTATTTTTATTGTTAATAATAAAGAGTTGTTTTCAGGTCGAACCTTCTTGTGAGCCTTAGGATTGGCATAGATTTATCCCCTAGCACATCTTCTATGCAAGATTTAGTCATTAGCATGTCGCCAGATTTGGCTGCTAACACCTCCACTGCGCTAGATTTAGCAACTGGCACCTTCGATGTGCCAGATTTAGCCGCTAGTACCTCCGCTATGCCAGATTTATCAGTATGACTAGCTTCAGTTTTTATTATCATGATTATTAGCGAATTTAATCTCAATTATAAGATCTCATCGTCTGAATTGACAATGGGTGGGTGTCTAATATTAAGGGTTTGTCTTGTTTGTCTGGTGGATAATAGATGGCGCCACTACTATTTTAAGACGCACTATGGTTTCGGTATTGTAAAGTTGCTAAATCAATAAGAAATAATTCGTTAAAATAATTTTAAGAAAAGTGATCATACACGCTGTATACTATTCAGTAAGGTTTATTATTAAACAGTGTAGTGAATCAGTAAGTGTCTTTCTTTCTCTTACTCGAGGGATCCATAGTGCTCCTAGTATTGTACATGGTCCTTACTCCTTACGATCCGGATTTAAACCGGTTTTTTGATAGTTCTGGAGGGAACTATAAACCCTCTCACACTAGTAGGCATATACGCAGTAATCTATGCCATGTAGGGGCAGTGGATCGTTGCTCGGTGTGTCCGGCAGAGATCGACGTGCTGACCGAGGTTGACTGCTGTGACATCACTAGAAGGAGGTGAAGAGGAAGATCGACGACAGAGAAGGCTGTCAGGAACGTTTCGTACGAAGGCTGAGGCGAGGTATACTTCATCGGAATCAAGCACCGCGCGGAGTTGAATAGCGGAGGATGTGATGTGAAATTCGCAGGAAGTGCAGTGGATTGTACAAAACTGTGAGTAATCTTTGTGTCTTAACTTTAACCAACATAAACTCTATTCTTGTTTTGTTTAAAAGGTAATAGTAAAATTAAATGCCAATTTGAACTTTATTTCCGTGAACTTTTTATATTTGAATATTTGTGTTAAAATTAACTACTAGTCTTATTTGCATGTAAAATGTAACATTAACTTAGTGTATAATTTCTCCGATAGGAGTAATAGTGTTCTGTGATAATTTCCCAAAAACGAAGGTACGGGGAACCTATGCCCGATTTTGTCAAGTATTTTATTGCAAACACCTATAAAACTTATTGAACAGTTTAAACTTGTAAAATTATAATTGTGACTTGTATTGGATAGTTATTAGTTGCAAGTTATTAAGGCACTTAATATTTGTTATGTAATTCCTTCGTAAGATACTATCACGATTGTTATTAAAAGTCGTATTAACGTTGTAATTTCGTACATAATATAAATCAAAATGAGTACTGGAAGGGAAAGATTAGCGGAACGTATGGACAACTTAATATTTTGTCAGGAGGATCTAAGTTCTCGCATCAAAAAGGCAGACGTAAACTTTAAAAAGAGTCCAAAAGAACGTATCACTAAGGAATATATAGAATCACGCTTAGAAATGTTAGAGCAAATTTGACATGAATTGTTTTGGGACATAAAGAATTAATTAAAATTGTACCCGCAAAGGAATTAACGAAATCGATCTATTTTAAAAATGAAGTTTATGATAACACAGAAGAGGTTTATTTAAATTACAAAACAATGCTTAGAAGTAACTTATCAGCATTTACAGTTCATGCTTTGGGTGCTAATCAGTCAAATAGCGATATGGTTAAGAATAGTGTCAAATTACCTAAGTCCAATATTCCACAATTTTCTGGCAATATTTTGAGTGGACTACGTTTAGAGATTTGTTTAAATCTTTAATTCATTCAAATGGTGATTTAGATAATGTCCAAAAATTGCGATATCTAAAAGGGCTTCTAACAGGCGAGGCGGAACGTCTTTTGAAACATATTCCAATAACAAGTGATAATTATGAAAGAAGTTGGGCTTTGTTAGAAGATAGGTACAACAACAAACGATTTATTTGTCATCAAATAATAAAGCGACTGTTAAGTCAGCGTAATATTTTAAGTGAATCTGCCAATAGTCTAAAGGAGATAATTGATACAACAAATGATTGTTTAGCCTCACTAGCGAATCTTGGTATTAAAACCAGTACATGGGATATCCTTATAATATATATTATCTCATTAAAGCTGGATCCTGAGTCAAGAAGGCAGTGGGAATTTTATATGAGCAATAACGTTTCAAGAGATGATCTACCTAACTACGATCAGTTTCAAGACTTCCTAACCAATCGGTATAGAGCTATAGAATTCTTGCCTTCCGACTCAAAATCCAGTCATAAAGTTAGTCATACTGTTAAGGTGAATTCTATTCATACAACTAATTCCGCGGGTGGGTGTAAATAAGTGCAGACGTGTTTCGTTTCGTAAAACGTATTTATTTTAAAAAAGTAGTAATTTACCATACTTTTATTATTTTTCTATATAATACAGTATTAAGCATCAACGCGTAAAGGTTTACCTTCTTATGCACTAGTTTTTTTAGCACTGCACAAACTGCTGGAACCAAGTTTTTTACACACGAACATTTGTTGCTACATACGTCACTATGTCCACAATTGCCGATATTTCCAGAAGTCAGGAGTCTTTGGAAGCGCTCATCACTCGTAAAATGGCAGATTTTGAATCAAAACTCAACTCCAGCACTTCCAAGAGTAGCAATGTAGACAGGATCAGCGAGGACTATACCGCTTTTCAGAGTTACGTCAAGGATATGTTTAACCTTCTTCGCCAGCAAATTGCAGAAGTCAGTCGCTCGCTTGACATTATAGAAACAAGGCATCGCAGGAAATTCCTTTTAATGGGCGGTGTCCCTGAAAAACCAGGCGAAGATTTATCCGATGTCGTGATCAAAATTTTTCACGAAAATCTAGGTCTTAAAGATATAGCACCATCTTGTCTTCGAACAGCATACAGACTTGGCCCGGTCAAATTACACCATACTCGTCCTATATTAATGCGCTTCACAGATATGTCACTGCGCTCAGCTGTTTGGTTTAAAAAAACAATGTTAAAAGGCACCTCGTTTAAATTATCGGAATTCCTTACAAAATACAGGCAAGACTTATTTCTTCAAGCCCGTAAGCATTTTGGAATTAAAAAAGTCTGGTCATTCGAGGGCAACATAAGCGTTAGACTGCCTGACGGGTCTCGACGTCACATCTTTAGCGCTAATGACCTGGATGCACTACTGCGCGATCTTCATAAAGCTGGGTGCAACGAAGAGCCGGAACAAGTGAAGGCAGGAACTAGTAGTGTAGTTTCCCGTAGCGAGCAGCCAAGAACCCGACGAGCAGTCAGAAATAAGTAAACATTCTCGGGTTAGTGGTAATACTTTGTTTACACTTCGACGGCTTATTAATTACTACTACTGCTGTGTGTACTGTGTACGTCACTGAGCGCTTTTGTATTCGATCCTTTTGTTCTCCGCAACCGGTTACTAGGCTGGTTTGCGACACAAGTAATAGAACAGACTAATCTGAACCTTAAATTTCGTGAAATTACGCTTTAGAGTATTTTTTTTTTCGTTTAAATTACCACTTCTCGTAGTGATTAACATATGTTTTTTTTTTCCTTTTTTTCAATACGTATGATTTTTGTTGTCTCTGCAATTGTTTTTTTTAAAAACTTTTTTTTAAAAAATAAAAGGGTTTTTTTTTTTTTTTTTTATTTTATATAAAAAAAAAAAAAATCATCATCATCATCATCACAGCCCTTCACAAGTCCACTGCTGAACATAGGCCTCCCCCAAGTTATGCCACAAAGCACGGTCCTGAGCCACCTGCATCCATCGACTTCCTGCATATCTTACCAGGTCGTCACTCCATCTAGTGGGGGGTCGCCCTACACTACGCCTACCGGTACGAGGCTGCCACTCGAGAACCTTTCTTCCCCATCGGTTATCGGTTCTTCGAGCTATATGGCCGGCCCATTGCCACTTCAGCTTACTAATCCGTTGGGCTATGTCGGTCAATCTGGTTTTACTGCGGATATCCTCATTTCTGAGTCTATCACGCAGAGAAACTCCGAGCATAGCCCTCTCCATAGCTCGCTGAGCGACCTTGAGCGTCCTCATACGGCCAGCAGTGAAGGACCACGTCTCTGATCCGTAAGTCATCACTGGCAACACGCACTGGTTGTACACTTTAGTTTTCAGAGATTGAGGTATACCTGACGAGAAGATATGTCGTAATTTCCCGAACGCTGCCCAGCCGAGTTGAATCCGTCGATTGACCTCTCGGTCGAAGTTGGACTTACCTAGTCGGACTATTTGTCCCAGGTAAACGTACTCGTCAACAACTTCGAGCATAGTGCTCCCAACAACTACCGGCATAGGTGTGACATGGACATTAAACATAATCTTTGTTTTGTCCATGTTCATCTTAAGACCTATCCGTTGGGAGGCACTATTGAGGTCATTGAGCATAGTGCTTAAGTCCTCCAGCGATTCTGCCATAAGGACTATATCGTCGGCAAATCGAAGGTGAGTGATGTACTCGCCATTGATGTTAATACCGTATCCTTTCCAGTCCAGTAGCTTGAAAACGTCTTCCAAAGCAGCGGTGAAGAGTTTCGGGGATATAACGTCACCCTGTCTTACACCTCTCTGCAGTTGGATAGGTTTCGAGCTCTGGTTCTGTACTCGGATAGCCATCGTAGCCCTACTGTACAAACACTTCAGCACTTCAATATACCGACAGTCAACTTGGCACCGCTGAAGGGACTGCAGCACCGCCCAAATTTCGACGGAATCAAAGGCTTTCTCATAGTCCACATACGCCAGGCAAAGTGGCAAATTGTACTCTTCAGTCTTCTGTACAATCTGCCGCAGGGTATGTATGTGGTCTATGGTACTGAAGCCTTTTCGGAAACCGGCTTGTTCGGGAGGCTGGAAGTCGTCGAGTCTGCGTGCGAGACGATTCGTAATGACTCTCGAAAACAGCACGTAGACGCGGCTCAGAAGGGAAATCGGTCTGTAGTTCTTCAAGAGAGCGTTGTCGCCTTTCTTAAAGAACAAGACCACCGCACTTCTGCTCCACGCCTCAGGAGTAGTGCCACCATGGAGGACGGAATTGAAGAGCTTCTGAAGGACTTCAAGTACCGGTGTTCCACCCGCTTTCAGAAGCTCCGCTGTAATTCCATCCTCGCCTGGGGCCCTGCCGTTTTTAAGGTGCTGGAGAGCCATTCTAATCTCGCTTAGAC